AAAGTCACAGATGTCAAAAAGAATGAATAAACCATTAAAAGCTGTGTCTCCGGTCATTTGGCAAATCATCAGTTCTGTGACTCTTTGCGGCAGCAGAAGGTGGGTGAAATTGGATGACAGCTCTGGATCATGCTCACGACAGTTGAATCATATCTCTTGTCCCCATTTGGCAGTATGCAGCAGCGTTTGGCCTGTCAGCAGGCCAAGTGTGTCTGTGCATACATGAGTAGTGGTCTGATATCCGCCAGTGGAAAATATGAGGAGACAGCTGTGCAACTTATTTATCTGCGTTGGTTTTCATAAATGCTGAAAGTAAAGTATGCAAGTTTGCTTGTACGTTGTATGTAAACTTTGGTTCACATCAAAGTTTGTATTAACATGCACAGAACTGGGCACTGAATAATTTGTGGATAAAAATGCAACAACTAATAAAGCCCAACTTGATTTTTAAATATATGATTGCTGGTTGTGCTGAGAGGCTGTGTAAGCATTTCTGGTGTGTGGATATTTCCTAGTAAAAATGATTGCCTTAACCCATCCTGTGAAAAAACATTGAATGACTACTGTTTACAAAATATTTTTAGCTGATAATGGAGCACAAACACAAAAAAGCAAGAGTTAGCAGACACAAAGTCCTTATAAAAATAGATAACATACACAAAAAATGTGAATGGCAGAAGACAGAAACCATGAAATAATCAAACAAAACAAAAAAGCAGAGAAATGCTTTAATTAGAGTCTGTGCATTCAATAACCTAATATGTACTATTTATGCAATCCAGCCCGGACATATTGTCGACTGCTAACACTGCATGAAACAAAGCAATAATTAAAATTCTCTACATGAGTACCAAACCCACAAGCAAACATTTCAAATCCTATTCATTTTTAGTGGGAGTGGCTTTTAAGGTGGAACATTTTGTCCTGTACAAAAAAGGGGTATTTAAAAACTTTCAGATATAAAAAAAGAGCTTGTGCGACTTGTGTATAACATCATTGTTGATTAGTATGATACAAGTTCTGAGTCTCATATGATAGAGTTGTAGATTTGGGTTTTTTCAGTCATTTCGCAACAAAAATCTGCTAAAGCAACTTTTTTTTTTTAACTCACTCTTTGCTTAATCAATTTGGATACAAAAAGTTTTGCGTGTGTCCCCAGATTTAATCATCACAAATGGTAATGATTAAACCATGAAATAACATATTAACATTATCTCTACATGCATTGAAATGATCAACTAGCTTCCTAGCTTCTAATGGTGAGTTAGTGACCAATAAAGCCTTTGTCACACTTTGGCAATTCAGCCAGCTTATGCCTGACCTACCAGAATCTTCAAAAATGCTGGAATATGCAAAACATTTGGGGTTATACATAGAGTATTCATAACGAGTCTAGAGCTTATGTCCAATGACAACCTAACTTATGCATAATGCAAGGCAGCATAATGCCCATGAAATGTCGCAAGCCAGTGTCACGGTGTGCAGTCTGCATAAAAAGATTTCTTTGACCGCGGTATTATCCTAGCTGCTGTTAATCGCCCACCACAAAAAGAAGAAGAAATAAATAAATAAAAAGAAATAATAAAGAAAGAAGGTTTGCTGTAGCAGCATTTCAGCGTAATGTCTGCTAGGAAGTTTTTAGGTAGTGGCCATGGGCATGAGGATCCTTCACACTCACATATGGCATAAGCCGGCATACCTTAAGTAATAAAAATTTCTCAACGTACTTTCCATATGTTAATGTGTGCCAGCGTGCTTCAGCTTGCTTCACGGTGCTCATAACTTATACAAAACATACCTATAAGTTATCCAACGTATCCCAACATTTTTGCTAGATTTTTCGTATGTCAGGCATGAGCTGGCAAAATCATCAAGGTGTGACAGGGGCTTAAGTTGGATGATCTGTTTTTTTTTTTTTTTTTTTTTTTTTAAGTTTAACGAGTTAACAGTTCATCAGATTTATGCTACTGCTGTAAGAGGGGACTAATCACAGTTATCATAGCAACATAAACTAGAAAAGGACTCGGAGTGTGTAGACCTTCGCCAAGCAACAAATTTTGCCCCATATTGTGACTTACACCTTTTACTAAAACACACTATCACTGCTGCCACCCTCTGGTTTGGGGGGGAACTGCTTGTTCCGCCAAATAATGATGAAGAATCCTTTCAGAAATTCCTCTATCTGGATTTTGATCTGGATCATCACCAAAATAGGATAGATTTTTTTTCCAGAGGCACACCACTGGTTTTGTAACTTTTCAAGTAATCCTGCGAAAAATCCTACAAACACAACCATAAATCATAGTTCCTTGGGTGAGAAAATAAAAACAGAACGATGGAGAAAATGGTAACAACATCTTTAATGAAGAACCTATACCATCTGTGTTAGTATAGGCTATGATGTGATCATCCTCAGCTTTGCATGGTTTTTGCTTAAGAGCAAAGATTACAATTGTTTATATTTTATCTATTGTTTCCAACAAAGAGACTGTTTCAGATGGGTGAGAAGAACCCCCCGTTTTCACTTCCATAGAACTGACCTACTTTAAGATCCATTTTTTTCTTTTTTATTAATTTGATATTTGGTCTTTTAAGTCAAATGAGCTCCTTTTCCTGCTCTTATGTTATCCAATGTTTTTATCTTTTTCAGCAGACCTTCACCTATGCTCAAGTACTAACTGAACCGCGATTAGATTTAATCAGCAAATTATTTATTTCTCAGGCCTATTATTGACTTATTACTGTAGGAGTTATAGGATAGCCGGCATTTGGCGTTGCAATATTTAAAAATCTGTGTCTCCTCACGCAGGTAGCGTCTTACTTTAAAGCAGGTATCCCCAAACTCGGTCCTCAAGGCCCCCTGTCCTGCAGGTTTTAGAGGTTTCTCTGCTTCAGCACAGCTGGTTATAATGATTGCAGTGACCAAAAGCCTGTTAATCAGCTTTCAATTAAAATCAGCTGTGCTGGAGCAAGGAAACCTCTAAAACCTGCAGGACAGGGGGCCATGAGGACCAAGTTTGGGGATGCCTGCTTTAAAGGATGTAGAAGCTGTTGTTTGTACTGCAGATGTCTGGATTTAAATCTTATTCGTTTTGTGCTGATTTACATCATCAGTCATCTTTGAATAGATTCCCATTCCTCTAAGTGGGAGCGGTAAGATTGCAGTTATAATTCACACAATAAGGAGATGCCATGGTTTTTTGTTGAAATAGTTGTGCTTAGTTTCAGGGGTTAAAAATGTTTTGTAAGAATGAATGTTAGAGGCATTACCTTTGCCGCAGTATTGCATCCCTTCAGGCAGACATGGAAGTACCCTCTACTGAAGATTTTATTTTGATCATGCTGCACTTTTCGTTATTAGCATTTTTCAACATTTTTACCTGTTTGTTGGTACAACGTAAAATTATAACTGCCCCATGCAAGCTCTTATTCTTAGTGAACTGGAAAAACAGAAGTGGACAGATAATTCAGTACTCACTTCATCTTGTGTGGAACATTACTATTAAAAGCACTTCAAAATTGACACAGCTGCCTAGAAGTGATTTAACAAGCTAAAGGGATGAACATTTATGAGGTAAGTCTGCAATGACTGAAAGGCAGATAAAAGGGAGGAACCTCATTTCTCTCCCTGCAAACAATATTTTTTGTAGGGCAGTTTAAAGAAGATGGAAAAACTTCTAAGGGCAAAAATCTATAGGCCTCGTTTAGAATATCTAATACTGAAGTCTATCTCAAAACTGACACTGAACAAGTAAAGCGTATTTGATAGTGTTTCATGAATTTTGTGGTTTTCTGTATTTTCCACAAAATATAGCACTAACAAACTTTAAAGCAAAGTGTTGGAGGGTTTATGATATGGGATTGTTTCCCAGCCATACATAGTTTTATTCATGCATTTCTTTCCAACAGAAAAAAAATATATGATAATGATGTTATCTCAGTTTCTGAACCAATCATAAATACATTTGCATTACTAACAATAGACAATGTGTCTAGCCATGCTGCGCTCCGCGTTTCCCTGGTCATCTAAGGCTGCTACTGTACACAAAACAAGACCCATTTGTAAAGATAAAGAATGATAGAGTGCAGAGTACATTTGTAAAAAATGTCTACAGTGACTGAACCAGTTTGATGCAGTGTATCACTGGTGTTTCTATAATACATCTAAGTAAATTAATTTCTTTTCATTTTACCAATATTTCTCCATCTCTATTACCATATGTGTGTGTCAACAGGGCTGAGGTAGGAGCAGCCATCTGCCTGTTAGAGCCAGATGCCCCTTAAGCTTGGAGCCAAACAGAGCCAGCGCTCCTTTACCAAAAGTAACAACACTGTCATTAGATACAGTCCTTCTGTTTTTGATATTTATTAAAACTCTCTCTCAATCTGGTTGCATAATTGTGAAATCTACTCAGAGTGATGAGTTTTATTACACTATTTCTATTTGTGGCTTCACATACTTAATATTAGCGTGCACAGCAAAACTTTTCGAGCTTAAGGTCCAATAACTACAAAAAATTAGTATTGACTAATTGTGGTGTAGAGGCTTCTTATCTATATGATTTCAAAATAACTGTTATTTGCTTTAACTGCTTGTGTGTCAAAGCTTAAAAACTGAAATAATTTTATTTATTTGTTCTTTTTTAGAAAATGTTGGATTTGAAAGGTTCTGGGAAGTATTTCAATGGTTTTACCTCTTTGGAAATCTGTTTTATTGTTAAAATTAATTATTCTAATAGTATTTCTGTAAGTTTTGTTGATATGCTTACTTTATCACGCTGCCTGTATTGTAGTGGTGTAAACTAATTATTCCATGGAGTTTTTTCCTCTTTGAAGTGGGATAATCAGTTAATTATTGTTTCTTTCTTGCGTTTTTGGTATGATCTCTGCTTTATTTGCAAAAACACTGCTATTGCATCCGTTTTGAGTGCTTTACCGGAAAGTACATGTCTTTCTTTCTCCAGGTCAGCGATGCCTTGGTGGCAGCAGAACATGCGGCATCCACTTTGGGGATGCTCCAGAATTTACATGGAGCATTGTGGCAGCAGGGGACCAAAGAGGGGGAAGGAATGGAAAAAGTGAAAGGAAAGAAAAGACAGAAAGTCCACATGGTTGGGAGGAAGGTAAGAATGAAGGTATCAAGTTCCCCCCGTTACAGGGGAATTCTTTTTTCAGCAACTGTTAGAAGTTGAGGATTTCTGATATTGTTGTTTGAACCCAGACATCTATCATGATGAATTCCGTTAAATACCATAACTAGCCAAAAACTACTGCTTTACTCTGGTGAAAAGCATGAAGCTTTACTTGAACAGCAATGCAACATACCTTTCTACATCCCTATTCCCAGCTACCTTTTTTTCAGGCTATATTTTGGAAGATGAAAAGTTGCTTACATCTCCTCTCCTGAGGAAATGGTGAAATAGGAGATGAGGCGAGTCTGTTTATTTCCTTTAAATGTTTTTTTTTTCTCTCCCTCTATAATGAGCCCTGGGACCAGTCTGGTAGTGTGTGTGATGAAATTGAAAAAAAAAAATTTAATATACTGTTCCAACGGGTGAAGGAAGGGAGATGGACTGTGGATTGACCGATGGCTGTCCTGCATGTCTGATTTTGGTTATAAATTAGGTGTTGACTCAGCTCACTGCCTTCAGACTTCAACTGTTGAGCTAAACCAAAAATAAAGTAGTGTGCATCAGAAGGAAATGTGTGCTGTTTGATTCATATTTCATCAGCAATGAAATTGTGAATGACTTTATCTCCACAGGCTGATGAAACAAGAATTATCCTTTGAGACCTTGCTGAATCATATAATAATATTTTTATACAGTTTAGACAGACATTTTATCTGAAAAATCTAAATATTGACCCTAAAAACCTTAAAGGGCCACAAAGAAACATTTTTTTTTATTTACGAGTCAAAGTCCATTCATCATAGTACATCAAGCCGCTCGCCATAGAACATTAATGTTCAATATAACTAATTGGTCTCAGAAAATAACGTGCTAAAGAAAACGTTTTTTTTTTTAACAAAGTAAATTAACTCAACAGAATCATTTCGTATTTGGAAATGTCATTAATGGGAAAACTGGTCTATGTTCTTGGCCACCAAGCAAGTAGCATCCAATCTGACGATCTGTTGGAAAATCGGGTGGCATGAAGTTGAAGCAACTACATTTCATTGAAATGCATGCAATTGTAAAAGCATAATTTGACAGGAGCATCATGAGTCAGGCAGGAACATGGGGCAAAATAAGAAACATCCTTTTTGGATAAATTTAAAGTAAATTCTGACAATAGCAAAGTAGACCGTCCAAATTTATAGGTATGTCTGGGACCATCCCACCCATATTCTGTGCTTATATAGAAGGTAGCATAATTACCCAATGTATGAGTATACAAATTGAATTAAATGAATTATGTAGCTATTTTCTTTGAGTTTGTTAGAGCAGCAACCACAGATCAGCATTTACGACCAGCCTTTTTTATACTGGGGGAATTTCTCCCGTGAATGCTCGATCTCGGCTGGCTGATGGTCCGTAGAGAGGCCCTTTAAAAAATGTAGCTTGGAGAGTCAAATCAAAAGCCTTAACTCTCTTGCTTCTTATTGTTTTTTTTTAAGATACATTTTGAGCATCAGACCATCCACTTTACATGCAAAGTCTATGGGGGAATTATGCAAGGGAAGACAAGTGATCCTGCGGTAAAGGTCCTTTGAAAAACTGCTTCAACCAATCAGAGAAGTTGATCTCTGTGCCAGTTGTGAGACAGTTACTGTATCTAAATCATGATCTCTACCTGTGCAGAACTTTCAACACAAAACTATAAAAAAATGAATCTGTATATGTGCCAAGTCCCTCTGACTGGCCAGACAAGTGTATCCCAGTGTGACTGCCTGTGGGGTCTATAGCTCGGACCCATTACATAAAGGTAGGATCGTAATCTCGATGCTCTGACAACATTGTAAGGTGTACTTTTCTGCTTACAAATGTCTAAAAACTACTTTTTCCCACTTATCACAGAAAAGAAAATAAAGTCACTCTCTCAAATGCATCTGCCGTTTTACATAGGGACTTGCATCAAATACGAGATTAATGCTTTTTTTGAAACAAAATTGTTTTGATAAGATGAAACAATAATCCTGACTGCAGACTGCTAAGACAATCTTAGTCCATCTAACCTTATTGTTCTTTACACTGGACTAAAAGAAAATGTACCTCTGAGCATACCATTAGCTTGCTGTAATGATGACGATAACTCCTTAATCATGGGCTGGTCTGGACTAAGCACTTGGTCTTGTGATGGTTGATTCAAGAATGTGTGCAATTGATTCTGCCTAATACTTTTGAAATCCCTGTGATTAGTGTTATCTTTTCCCTTTGCATCAAATATAAAATATTGTAATTTCTTTCCAGTATAGGCCAATACTTCTGAGAACAAATTAATTGGCAAAGTGAAAGTAAAAACATGCTGCTTAAGCTGCAACAGAGACAATGTTATAGGCTGTAAGCGGGGCATTTAATAAAAATGACAGTCCAGGTTGCTATTGCGTTGCTGTTACAATGCAACGTTGTGGCCTTCCTGTTATTGTCGGAAAACAGTAGATACTACTGCGCTGAAACGTGAATAAAGAATTAAAGCTTGGAGGTAAAAAAATATGCAGCTTACAGTTTGATGTGGATTACAGGCTTACTACTGAAGGCCACTATTTTGAAACATTTTTTGAGTAGTTAAATATACCAAAATACTTCCTTCAAGCCTTTCATAGTGAGTGTTAAGTGAAGTTATTTTCTGGAAGAGCCCTATCTCCTGATTACAAAGGTTAAGATGTTCAAAATTTGGGACAGAGTATGATTTTTTTACTATTAATAAGATTCCCATTCTGTGTTTGCTTTGTCAAAATAAAAATAAAAACAATCTACAAAAGAAAAGAAAAGTCTTTAGGGACAATGGGAACAAATGTGGCCAACAAAACATCAACTACAAATACAACAAATGTTTTTTTAAAGACTGGGTTCCTGATAATATAGCATTTCATGTGCAAAAATATTAGACTCCCCATGCACAGCAACAAAAAATACTAATGTCTGTGTGTAGTCCTTAGATTTGATTTATTACTTGATAGGATGTTCATACTCCAATAAAGGATAAAACAAACAACTATATAAATGCATGGTGCAGCACAGGATAGCCAGAAGCTCTTGATTCTGTTGTACTCTTTCTGCTCAAGAATATAGAAAACAACATTGACAATCAAAATGTTCGGACTTGGACGAAGAAGACAGGTGTTTGAAAGAGGGTTGAAGGAAGCCATTTTTATTAAAAAGGAAAGACCATCACTAAACAAAGGGGGAGGATTTCAGTTTTATCTTGGCTTAGTGACAGAGCCTCGATTCTGTCAGCGAGCCCCAGGAAAGCTGTGGCTTCAACGTTGCCTGCCATCATCAGTGTGTGAGTGAATGACTAATTGTAGTGTAAAGTGCTTTGGTCAAGTCCCCAAATCTGAAAAAGTATAATATATGTACAGGCCATTTACAATTACGCTATTCCTGGTCGGGGTATTTCTCCATGAAGTTTGAATTTTCTCCCTGTGCATGCGTGGGTTCTCTCCAGGTTCGCAGGCTTCCTACCACAGTCCAAAAACATGATTATTAGGTTAATTGACATCTCTAAATATCCCGTAGGTGTGAGTGTGTGTGTGTGTGTGTGTGCATGCTTTTGTGTGTCTCTCTCTTGCCATGCAGCAGACTGGTGTTTTATCCCGCCTTTTGCCCATAGACTGCCAGAGATCGGCACTGTCCCAACAGTGACCCTGACAAGGACTTAGCAGGAGAAAATGGATGCACGAATATTCCAACTATCTACAATTCGGCCATGGAACTCATTGTAGAGAAATTGCACAAGCACACTAATTCAATTCAAAAGGCCTAACGCATACCCATACTGTTAAATATGCCAAAAACCCAGGTGGACGACGTTGGGGCAATTGATTTGCATCTGACTTGGAATCAAAGAATGGACCTCATGTTGCTTAAAAACATCAGTGCTCCAATTACAGTTTGCCTTGATGTGAGCTGATAGAATTAACAAAGACTACTGGATAGGTGTCAAAACATCTTAAGAATTTCTAAGCCAAAGTCCAGTTGCCCCCAATTTAAGCCTGTTTAATAGTGAAACTGAACCCTTATGACTGAGAATTGACACCCTCATAGCCCATACCTTGTACTGTGTCTACTTTTTCAACCCCCTGTTGAAAAGGGATATATTCTTACTATCATTGTTATCATGTTAGTTGTCAATTCTTTCAGTAATCTAGAGCAAAGGTTGCCTGTGGTTCCTCGTTATACATTGCACTGCCTGTTTTAGGAATTTCTCTTGTGCTAGACTTCTAACTTAAACTGGTGATTAATAGCCTTCCAATGCACTTGATGGCATGCTGGGAAGAAAAGGCAGCTATTTAAATCAGGTGTACTCACCAGAGATACATCAAAAACATGAAGGGGAATCTGGTAGACACCTGTTGGCAAGACCAGATTATATTTTACATCATACAAGTTTCACAGTTGAGTGGATTTGTATGTATAATTCTTTGCACAAAGCCTTCTTGACGTCGTGATCACTGTTTCATCTTTCTAAATTCAGGGTTTGGAAAATAGGATAGGGGAACCATTGAGTTAAAAGCCAGTCTGGATTAAAATATGGATCGCAGAAATGCTAAGTAAATACTTTTGCTAACATCCTCTGTTAGCCACAGTTCAGTTGGAAAGTTCTAAATAACTAAGATGGGTGAGGAGCTTCTTTACACATCTTAATGGCGATCTTTAGAGAGGATGGAACAAAATACAGATGCTGTAAGGCTGTGATGTGTGTGACTTTTTGCAGCAGTTTCACACAGTGCTAGAATAATATTGATGTAAAATGTGCAACATGAAAGCCTGTAAATGGACTATGTTACTTTATCCAAAGAAGTCAGAAGTTGTTAACATGTAAGCTGAAAAATTCCAAAAGTAAGCAGAAAAAACCTCAACCCCAAGAAACAGGATTTTAAGCTTATCGTGTTCTGCTTTTAAAATGTAGAATGCCAGAAAAAGAAAAATCAAAGCTGTTTACCATGCATACAGAAGGC